TTAAAGCTATTAAATAAGTCTACCTGGTCTGACAGAGTCCAATTCATTGTTTAAGTAATCTATATCAGTAATTGACAGATAAATCAATGAAGGTGGAGAAACAAACATTGGTCCTAAGATCTGTTTCATCACCACAGAAATAAATGAATTGTTTGATGAAAGCCTCCTCCATAGTTCCACTTGTCCTGGATTGTCACAGCTCCTGAACTTTGGTAGTCGAATAAGTTGTCTCTGCTGTAAATAATAGGAAAAAATATATGAACAGCATCTTGAAAGTAGGATCAAAGTGTATATATATTTATAAGGAGAGAAAAATACATTTGGCCTCAACAGCGTTATTAATATTACTTACATCTGGCAAACTAATTGCAATGTTGGCATTGCCCTCTCCACGGTACTTCCACCTATGTTGCCTCAAGTCAAATTTGATAGCTCCAAAGTCCTCAGGACTCACGGGACTGAAATCAAACCACTGTTAAAATCCAAATCAAATCATTTTACCAGTTTGTGCATTTACTGGAAGAAAAAGACACATAATGCAAAGGCCTGCAATAAACAGGTCACAGGTCACATGTCACAATAATTATTTCTACCCCCTGACCTAACCTCTAACAATAATCCAGATTCTGAATTGAAACATCAGAGCAGAATCAGAATGAATAAGTGTACTTTTAACATTCACTAAAACTTACTCCGGCATTCTTAGAATACTTCCGCTGTACTTGTCAGTGTGCTGTACCCCACCAGTACATTAATTCATGTTCCAAATGTGGCGGTTAAAGACGAAAACAAGCGCCAATCAGCAGAAGCACCGCCTTCCGAAAAGGAACTTCTGTTTCCAGATGGGCACAATCGGCGGCCACTTTTAAACGCTGTCTGGTGACACACAAGGCACGAAAGCACGAAATAAAGTCTTTCCTCCCGAGTTCGATGCTCTGAACAAACCTTTATCCTCCAGATGCAAAAAGGTGAATAACTGCTTGAACACCCAAGATGAGGTCTACTGTTACTTTTATTACATGAAAATGCTTTATGTACACTTGCAGATTTGACAGTATCCTAAGAAGACAAGACTTTAAATTGGTCTAATTGTAGCATTGAACACCACTATCAGATCAATAAGACTATTTTACCAGTAAGTACAGTACAAATTCATGATGTTGACGCCAAAGATAAGTAAAAACAAGGACAACTTCATTGTTATTATGAAGATATCCATAAGGTTATCCATACAATGAGTTGAAAAGATCAAAATCGGTAGTTGGAACTATACATTGATCCAGTTTGATGAAATTTGAAAACTTTGTAAGAAAACCAGTAAATGCTCCATTCAAAAATTCAGACACCCAAAGAAATTCAAGCCCTTTAACTTCACATACCTCCAAGACCGTGGTATCAAAAATAAAGAACATCCACAAACAAGAGCTTTCCACATTTTATTATGAAAAGAGCAAGATACGCCGGCCCACTGCCTAACAGTTTCGACACATCCGATCTGAGGAAGCAAATCCTACTTTAACATGTTACTAAACAAGAAGTGGGGTTTGAACGGTGATCACTTCATGCAGTGTGGAAGAAGTTCTCAGAACTGTAAGAATAGGAAGAGGACTGGTGAAGACCATGTACCATCTTTCGATCTAAAGTTTATTGGCAACAATACATCTTCACTCAATTTACTACCTAGAGCTCATGAATACAAAAGTATAGCAGAAACAAGCGGATTACCACAGACACACAGCAGCCAGATAGCTGCCAAATCAGCTAACAATAAAACAATCCTAGAGGATTTCTCCAAACCCTATTCTTGCATCCACAGAAGACAACCACCGTCCATAACTGGTCTCAGACCAGGCCTTAGCATAAAAATGCCTATTACATGGCAAATGCATGTACAAATAACCAGCCATGTTCACAAAAATCATTTAAAGTGTTAAGTTATTTTGTATCACCAAATGCATTAATTCTGAACAGGGCTGAAGGTGAGTGACGATGATTTACAGTACAAAATTACTTTTCCTTAACACCCCAAAAGTGTGCACACAATTAAAATTTTTTAAACTAGCAAAAAAAAAAAAAGAACACGCACACAAGTTGAGGCTATTCCAGACTGCACATGGCAAATACCTAACACTGGGTACATTTGACGACCAATCTTTTCTGTAAACCATTTGGCAGTTCATGAGACAAGAACCGTACTTCGGGTGATATCGAGTGGGTTTGGCATTAATTTAAATATATATCACAAAAACTGCATGGACCAAGTAAACCATAGCTACAAAATGTAACCGGATTCAGTCCAACACTACTATGTAGACAGCCTGATAATGGGTCTCACAACCACAACTCACTTATGAGATGAGTTTGGATAAAATGAATGATGGACACATCAATGATGTTAAATGATTGTGGCATGAGTTAATTGCAAGATCCATTATTAATTGTGAGTCGAGAATAATTAAGACCACTCTAACAGTTCACTCCTCAGGCGGTCCAAAAATAGGATTCTTGTCAAGAGCTGACTAGCGACCCTGCCTGTAGCGACCGAACGTTTTTCATCCTATAAGCGGAAAGCGAGCAGCCTTAGCCCAGAGAGGGGAAGTCGTGCTCATCGTCGACCTTGGGTGGACGAGCATGGGGCTTGTTGAAATCGTTGCGGCGCATGGGAGCAGGTCCAGCAGGTCCAGCAGCAACCGGACCACCGGGAGGAGGACCGCGGGGCTGAAAGAGATAAAAGGTAAGTTACCTTTGGTGGTGAACTTTTCGAATAACGCCAGACACGCAAGCAGGCATTCACAGCCGCTCACCTTGCCCCGCAATCCTATTCTGCTCTGATAATTCTCATTGTACTGATAGCAAGAACAGAAGACAGAAGGTAAGACCAGACAGAAAAGAGCCGTTAGAGTCTTAAGGTCGACACTCAAGGAGGGACGAGCCAGAGGCAAAGTGAGAAAAGACGAAGACAAAATTGGGATATTGCTCTACTCACAGAAGTAGCATCGAATTCACGCTCGCGAGGAGGTCCACGAGGTTCGCCAGCAGGACCACCCCGCCCACGACCCATGCCGCGGGGACCACCCCTACCGCGACCACGTCCGCCGCGACGGCTGTCGCCGAAGACCACTTCGATATCCAGAACATGCTTCAGACGTCCGACCCTCTGGGGGTACTCAGCGGAGACATCATATTCCTCCAACTAAAGGGAAGGGAGACATCAAAATCAACCAGGGAAAACATGATAGGCTTGAGCCAAGAAAATATGATGAATACCTCTTCGTCTTCCTCAGCTTCAAGTTCTTCCTTTTTCTTGTCAAGGGCATACATCTTTTTCCATTGTGATGGGTCTTCACCTTCACCAGCCTTGCGCAAGTTGTACTGGGGTTTGGAGCGGGACTTCTGTAGTGCCTTCCATTCATCAAGAGTCAATTCTTGGGGTTCTTCCTCAGCTGGAACAGCTTCCTCACCGGCCTCAGTAGTGGCAGCAGCAGCAGGAAGAGCCTCTCCCTCCCTAGAATATTGATAGAATGTTAGTGATCAAAATTGATTTACAGAAAAGGTTTGAAATCTATAAAAAATCCAGAAAAAGACTCACTTAGGCTCAGACACAGCTTCAACACTGGTGTCCTCTGGCTTAGCCTCAGACCAGTCAGGATTCTCCGTGGCAGATGAGTTCAATTCCCTACAAAAAAACAAAAGATTATTCCACAGAAAAGGCATGGGCAAAAGCAGGAAGAAAAAAGCAGTAGGAAGACTCCAGTGAGGGAAAGTTTTAAAGTTGTAAGGACAATTTTCACTTCAAGAGTAGAAAAATGTAGTTAATTAGCAACAAAAATAAGCAGTTACAGAAAAAGCTCAGAAAATCTAGCAAGGTGAAACAACTGCCGTAATTCTGAACTATCGTAAGCAACATGCAAAGCAGTGCAAATGGCTAACTCACTCAATGTCGTCACGGTGACTTCCCCAGTTGTGTGCGCCTCCTCCTTCGCGTTTGTCGACAGCCTTCACCCCCCTGAAAGTACCACTGCTGTCATTATGAAGATATCCTGGACTTGTTGAGAAAGGACTCCCTACATATATGTATTGAAATAAATCCCCATGATATAGCCTGATAGTCCAAATTTGAAATGGTAATGGCAGCTGGCTGACAAATCCTTGCTTTAACTACTCGGCAAATTAAAAATAAGATACTGAGCCAACACCTGGCATGAAAGCCGAGAAGCAATATTAACTTCTTAAATGGTAATTGCATGTTGCACATACTGTGCCCAATAGTACACAAGCTGGTTCCAGCATGCAGAGACTGTGAAACATCCCCAGTGAGTAATGCATAGCAAGTTACATATGCCCTAGGTAATTAGATGAAGAACAATAAGTGCACAAGACGAACAGAGTGCAAACAGGGGGAAAATCCTTTATACAGTACACTCACATAACAATAACTGGGCAACTCAAAATTACCACCCGTTCAATATGAAACAATCTGTGTACCATAGTTACTATGCTACTAAAAACATGTTACACCTACTTGAACTAAGGGGCAAACAACAGCCCATCTCGATTGTGATTTAGTACACTGAACTAATCAATCATGCCCATCAGCGAATGAAGGTAATTAACATATGTAATACTCACGTCTTGTCACTGCCAGATTGGCGGTCAAATTCACGTTTGCCTCGGTTGTCATAGCCTCCTCTGCCTCCTCGCATACCACGGCCCATTCCTCTGCCCATGCCACCACGGCCACGAGGAGCAAAGCGTTCGCCATCACCACGAGGTGCTGAGTCACGGTCCCTACAGGCAGATACACAGAAGTTACAAAGGGTACAAAATACAAACTCAACTTGCAATAAGCAGAGATTTAAAATAAATACCTGGAGAAGAAGTCGCCACCAGATTGGTTGAAGGGTCGGTCTTCACGGTTTTGTCTGTTGTTCCTCTCTTCGCGTGATTCAGAAGAGAACTTCACCGTTCTATCATTGCGTTCTGGCCTGTCTCCCACTGGACGGTCTCCACGAGGAGGTCGTGGACCATCAGGTCTGGGGCCACCGATGCGGGGCTCCTTTCCCTTCAAACCTGAAAAAACACAGCAGCTCAGACAAGTTTGCTAAGAATTCCTAACAATGAAAAGAGAATGGGAAGATAAGAGATAAGCTCATCACAATACATTAACAGCCATCACATTTATCACAGCCAGACTCAGAAAAATAAGGCAGTGCTAATCAATACATGTGCACTCCTAAGCAAAACCGACGAAGTGGCCTTGAACCGGCGCGCGTCCACTCCCGAAGTGATGGAGGGCACTGGGAAGGTAGGTTAGGGCGCAGCAACGCGCCATCAGCATTTAGCACAAAACGAGGTCTCAGCACAAGCTTCGGTATATAAGGGGCAGAACAACTTACAGACGGCACGGAGGAGCGTAGAGCGAGAATACTACGCCGCATTTTGACCTAGTCCCGAGGCGGGTCACCACATGGTTTGTGACCATACACGGCATGGGCCAAGGCATGGGCATGGATCAGAGAGAGGTGGAGGGGGTGGTGGACAAAGGTACACACCGTGAACTACTACGCAAACACACCCACTACAGCAAACAGTTTAACGAGTAATGGTACTCGTAAGTTAAAAAACCCAATCCCCTCATAGTTCGGCTTGGGCCCCAAGGGGAGGTCTCACAGTAAAGTACAGCGCACAAAAAAGGGGGGGTTGAGTGAACACATTAAGTACGAGGCGCCATCCGAAATACGTGAAGGATGTTTAAAAACTGTATTGCACGGGTATTAGAAGACACAGCAAGCGTGACTTGGCAAAGAAAAACTCAATGCTGAAAGGAGAGGACACCCATGGTCGCTAGAAGACCGGCGTGTTCTCGCCCCACCATGGTCGCCAGGGGAGGCGAGAACACGCGATTATTCTACTAAGTAAAACTTGATGACATACCTTCCTTGGGTTTTCCGATGCTTGGGGTCTTCACGTTGGAGGTTTCCTTGATTCCTTTCCTTTCGCTGGGAGCTACTTTAGCCTTGATTTCAGGTTTGCCCTTGTTTTCCTTTTCAGAGATCTTGGTCTTTTTCTTCGCCTCCTTTTCTTGCTCCTGAATCTTCAAAACCTCCAAAGGATCGTCTCCTTCATCAAGAAAGAGATCGAAACGATTTGTTATACCAATCCCGTACGATTGCTCCATCTTTTACACACCAAAACCCAAGGATGGTGAGGGATAAAGTTTAGCTCCTTTGAGCTCTTAGCTGTTGTCTTCATCCAAAATGGCGTGTGCGTGAATTTCAGTTTCTCCTTCCTCCGCACGAGGTCTGCCAAACATTGATCGGGCGACTCATGCGCAGAACACACGAAGTCAGGCAGCGAAAACGTGGTCACTGCACACAGTGTTTCCTGCGAGAATGAATAGACCATTTCACCCGAGCGCGCTTCGATATCTCGAAGAACAAAAATACCGGAAGTCGCGCTCGGAGCGCTCCGCGCGGCGCGTTCGGCCGGCC